CCTTAAATTGAATTAAAAGTTTCATTAATTGTCCTTGATCCATTTGTGTTTTTAGTATATTACGCAAAAAAATAGTTAAATGGATTTATACTTTTTAATGAGTAAATTAATCGCAAAGATAATTTATTTAACAGACAATGTCCGTCTACTCAGCACGACAAAGCAAAAATAGGGATCGCTGGGTAGGATGTATATTTGTATATATGTATATTTGTAAACTATCAGCAGATTAGGCGTGGCACCTGTTACAGTTGATAACAATAGTTTACTGGGCCTCCCACTATCCGATTGTTCGTTCCTTATCTTTAAATCCCGACTGAGAACGGCTGAATGTTCGCTAGTAAAACTGTTAATTATTCACACATCTTTTGTTTTGACCACCAAATTTTTACTCAAAAATAACGCAGTAGCACTGTTTTACACGTATATGCAAAAATAATCTCCGCCGCGTGCTTGTGACCACTTTTACAAGACTTTAAAACAGAGCAATACAAATGCGTGCCGGTTCGTTCCAATACTTATGGCAGACTCCGAGTTTAAATTAATACTTAGCGGAGAATGTATGTTTTGTACACTAAACTGGCTAACATTTCTAAAGGTAATAAATAAAAGCGAAATTTCTCAAGGCTCACTTTCTATAGCATTTTACATGCTCAACGTATATAATCAAACATACAATGTCCGTTTTTAAGCGTTAGACACTTTATTATCTATAAAATAAGAGATTGATCAATAATTCAAAATAAAATTATATGAGCAAAAGATAAAAAAAGTTCTTCAGTTAATCAACTTTTATTCAGTTTTATTATCCAATAATCCAGCAACCGATAAAATGTTTCAATCAAAACTATAATCCAATATCGAATTTATTATATCAAACGAGCAATGTTGTTATGTTTATGTTACATAAAGTTGTGTATATTAAAATAGTTGTATAAACATTTAATTTTCATCCGACCACAACTCGTTAAAACTCGGCCAACCCTTCACTCTTCCCTTTTCTTGTCCGGTCACCAAATACTTTCTCATTCAAACGGAATATTTCAGAGAGCAGAGATTTTTCTAAACTTGAAGGTTGTGTAAAATTACTTTGAAAATGTTACTGGACGCGTGCATACATTAAACCAGCAAGAGAGCAAGAAAAATAATTAAAGAAAGAAAGAAAGGGAGTGAGAGAGAAAGAGATATATTTAGAATATACCTCATGACTAGAGGCCGGATTTATATGCAATAAAAATCATGAAATATGCCGTATAATATGGACGAAAAAAGCTCTCAATTATACCATATACTATGCACTAAAAAAATCCTTAAACATGCCATTTAAAATTCACAAAACATATTAAAATAGAGATTGAATTTCTAAGACATCACTCGACTAATAATTAACTAATTTTTTTCTAGTACATATTCATTCTGAAAATAGAACAGAAAAATTTCAGTCGTACAAAAAATCATATCATTTAAAATATAACACAATACATAATAGGCTTAATTAGGTTCATGTTCTAAATTAAAATTAACAGTGACATACTTTCTGTTAAAATATACCGTTTATTGTTCAAAAAAGCTTTTTACAGCAAAAAGTTTTTTTCAACGTCAACAGCGTTAATGGGAGCATACTTTATAGGAACTCAAGATAACTTGATCGTCGATACTCTCCGAAGCAAATTAACTGTTTCAATTTATGTTTTCCTTACTTTTCCGATTAGGTCAATCCAATAGTTTGGTCAAGAATACATTTTCTTTTTTTTTCTTTTGTAATATAATTGCTGCATCGCTGAGCAATTAACTTAATTTTGTTTTGCGTTGAAAGAAAAAATCTAGCTTGCTATGTTAAAAATTGAAATTCTGACTTTTTGCAATTTAAATTTACTACTGTATTGAAAATGTAAAAGAGGACTGAGACTATTTTGTCTTTCAAATGAGGTCTCTATTTCGTTCCACAGCCCGGCTACTTCAGAAAAATTATTTTTTCAGGAAAGCCATACAAACCGCCCAGAGGTTTTGGAAACGAAGGCCTCAAATATTTTGATTATTTGAAGTGTTTTATTTGTCTTCGTTAATGGAACAATCTAATTTTAGGCTCTCTTAGTTGAATAGTTTATTTATATTCTTCTGAGTAATCCAAAATGTTTAAAATTTGCGATATTTTTCAAATAAGCGAAAATATACACAATAAAATTTCAACCACCGTACAACGGAGGTATGATTAAGATCATCAGGTCGTAACTATTAGCTAACGGGGCTCTACTTCATAATATATTGTCGAAAACTATGGAAAAAATAAATGTTTTTAAAATTTGAAATAAGTTACGACGAAGGAAAAGTTTTGAACAGTTTTTATTTGCTATCATGTATACATACATATAGTAAAACCTACCTATCACATCCATTATATTTAGTGGTCAATTTTTTTCAATTAATTAATCTTTTTATATAAGGTTTTGGTTGAAATGAAAATGTTAGTGTCACGAGGGGGATTCGAACCCCCAGCAGAAGGTCATGGGTTCGAAACCCGCTCGTGACTCTAACTTTTTCATTTCAGCCAATATCTTTCATAAAAAGATTAACCCTTTTTAAAAAGATAGTTAATACTCACAGTAGTTAGACCTAAAACTGTACATAATAAACAACCTAATAGAAATAGACGTATATAGAAAACCCACAACTACAGACACTATGATACCAGCGGATTCTTCCCACCCATGAGCCCAAAAGGGTGCTGCTTTCATTTGGCTCATAGAACGGATGTTAAAACTTCCGCTAACACCTGGTAACTATAAAAAATAATTAAAAACTATTAAAACCTTAGCAAAAAAACAACGGGTATCAAGAAATATTTATTGATAGGTTGCTAGTTAAAAGAATAAAAAATTAACTTTAAACGAATCAACAATAGGACTCAGCCACCCCACCATAAATGAATCATTAGGTTTCCGTTGTTTGCCATACATTGGTGAATTATCGGAAAAAGTAAAATTTTTAAACAAGAAGGTTTTAGAATAGCTTTTAGAAGTACGGGTTCACTTAAAAACATCCTCTCAAAACCTAAAGACAAAGTAGACAACTTGGCAAAAAGTGGGGTTTACCAACTCAATTGTAATGATTGTGATATTAAATATATAGGACAAAGCGGTAGAGAAATAAAAACAAGAGTAAAAGAACACTTGCCTAAATCGAGCAAATTTTCGGAATTTAAGGACCATCTAAAAGAAACAAAACATAATTTCAATTCAAATTTAAATACAAGAGTGTTACATAGTTTCAACAAAGGGAAAGAACTAGATTGGTTTGAGAAATTTGAAATTAAAAAATGTAAAATTGAACATGGTGATAAATGCATTAATAATATAACAGATTTTGATCTACCTCCCATTTTAAATATGTACATAAATAATATCAAACATCCAAATAATTAAACTAATTATTTTAATTGTTATTATTTTTATAGTAATTTAATAATATTAAGTATTTACTAGTATAATATTTATTTGTGTTATAATTTCCGCGTTTCGCATGTTCAAATTGAGCGCCATTAAAACAATCAGCTGCTAATTGGAACGTCGCGTTGGCGGAGGTATCAGCGGGTTCACTTTGGCAATTCATGTCGAGAGACGTGGTTGTAGAAGTCCTTCAACCTGATGATGAGCTAAAAGGCTCGAAATCCGGATCATTGCAAAACAACTTACTCTGAGTAGGAACTATCTTTTTAAAAAAGGATTGAACACCACACTCACTCCATCATTTATCATTTCTATTAAAAAGATTAACTACTTATCATATTTTGTTACTGCATTGTGTAGTACAGCAATGGTCAAAAAAGGGTAAAAACATGTTCGTGTTATATTTAACAACCTTGTTAATATATTAATTGTCCAAAATTTGGTATGGGTGAATATTAATTTACCAGTAAAATATTTGTCATGAGTAAAAACATTTTGAAACAAATAAAGCGTTTTATATCGTTATTTAATTACAAGACAAAGTTAAAAAAACAGGAATTATTCAAATATCAATCAATTGCTTGTTTTTAATACAAGGTTTATACAAAAATATTGTAATATATAATAATATTCGTATTATTATTTACTATTTAATATATAAACACTGCCGTTGTTCAAGCTGAATAATGAAAAGTGATAACTTATAATAATGAAATACATCATCCAATTTAACAAGTCGTAATGTTGACAAGTCTCATTTTAACGTTTAGTTACTTAGGTAGTATTTCATATTATTATAGCAATGAACGGATAGATGAAATATGGAAATAGATACGTTACAAAATTGTGATAATAAAATCCAAACTAACAAGTAAACATTTAACATTTGCCTCTGTTCAACATTTATCAGCGCTGACAGAACAAGAGTTTTCCTAATCTTTGGATTTCAAAGTTCCGCTTAGTCTTCGGTTTATCCGAGAGGATCCTATTTGTATTCACGCGGTGAAGTGGCTTTTGGCGGATAAGAAAGTTGTAAAATTTTTAACAGCAAATCCGTATGAACGACGATTCTTTAATAATTACTCCATCTAACTATATATTCCCTCATTAAGAAAATCAGAAAATCGTACAAAACACTCCCGAAAAACACTATGTATTTTAGTAGAGAAGATAATGCCCTTATATAAGAAGAATAGTAGCAGAAATGCCTTTTTGGTTTCTTACAACAAATTATTCTTAGATTTTTTTTTAAATATATGCTGTACTATGGCAAAATATCGAATTCTTCGACAAATTAATGTGAAAATTTTATAAATACAGAGTGAAGGATTTCCAAATATCACACGACCTTTTCTGAGAATATAAAACTGTCCACTCACAACTTCATAAAATTTACAATAATAATTTCACCAACATAATAGGTGCCAACGTTGATAAATGAAAACTGCCAAGAGTGATTCATGACTTTTTCAGGCGTTTCGATCAATCTTTATACTATCGTCAAATCCTCCATTACTGATTAATTAATAGTTATATTTTATGTTTTAGGTAACAGTGGTTTTATTCTCAAGTGGTTGTCAGTTTCTACTGGTTATCCCTGATAAATTGTGAGTATTTTGCCTGATTATTGATTTTACAATTACATAAACTATATCTAATATAGTATAAAGTATATCTAATCTTGTCTCACAACTATTCTATTATTAGTATTAAATTTGTAAATCCAATATTAAATACAATTAATTAACGATCATAAAATTAAACAACATTGCTACATCTTTAAGAAATATTGGAATCTCATGAATTTTGATACAATTTTATATAAAATATTTGAGTATAAACAATTTTGGAGAAATATGGCATTCATGAACCTACAATTTAGGACATAGTCTTAGATAAAAGGTGTAGGCAGTTTATCTCATGGTTGGTCATGACAAGAAAAGAATTGAACAGTAAGACAAAGTTCACTAATTTCGTGGTCCGCTTGACCAATTAAATCATTACAATTAATTAAGATTTTTAGTTGAGATGAAAAAAAGTTAATGGCACGAGCGGGATTCGAACCCACGACCTTCGGCTAGATACGCCGCTGCTCTACCACTTGAGCTATCGTGACCTCGATCCACTCGGACATCAACNAAGTTGATGTCCGAGTGGATCGAGGTCACGATAGCTCAAGTGGTAGAGCAGCGGCGTATCTAGCCGAAGGTCGTGGGTTCGAATCCCGCTCGTGACATTAACTTTTTTTCATCTCAACTAAAAACCTTAATTAATAGTAAGACAAAGGTGATGACTGAAAATGGAAGATACGGGGCATCGTTCATCATTGCAGCACTTTTAACGAAGCATATAGTTTAAAAAATTATTTTTTGTAAAAAGGAGAAAATATTTGTACAAAACATAAGGCCTTATGTGCTGTTTTATATTTAAACATTAAATAAATAATTTCTATTAAACATAAGTGTCGGATAAACAATACTGGTTCAATTTCGTTTAGGGTAGATTGAAAAATGAAAAGAAATGTACTTTAGGTTTAAAGATTAGCTGTTGTGAGTTATCTCATGCGATTATTCTAATCTTCTTAGCATTTTGTTGAACACGAGAACTTTTAATCGCTTGAAAGTTTGGAGAATGTATTAAAAAAAGGTTAAAGCCCATTTTATATCAGAATGATGACGTTTATGACCACGAAGAGGTGATAAAACGATACATTTATACAACGAAGCGTACTGTACAGAATTAGAAAGTTGATTTTTTTTGTCAAGTCTATTCATTAAATGGTCGATTCAATTTTCTCAAGGTCGGGACTCGATAGCATCACAAATTTGATATAATCCAAACAAGATTAGCCAGGTTGAGCCGCTTTATGTCAGGCAAGTCGATCTTTTCACCTCAAGGACTGCCCTCTAGTCAACGTGATCCCTTTATTAAACGCCATAGTGAACGCATAAAAATGTTAAGCGTTTTTATTAAAACGTAAATATTTGTCACGTATCTAAAACCTTGTATCAATAAAAAACAAATAAAAGAACTGACGATCAAAAATGTAGACCTGCTGTACAAAGATAACCCCGACTTACACACCATATAAAAGAAAGGTGTGTTGACAAAAATCACCCTGTCCAAAATGCCGAAACCCATCTGACATTCTAACCCAGCCAGAATAGGCAGAACAAAATGATGATCTAAAATAACAAAATACTGTTTTAATCACCGTGTAAAACGTCAAAGAAAGATTTAATGCATCTTTTAAGAATCTGTTATTTTTATATATTTTTCACATACCACGCTTTACCAATTCCTCTTGTAAAATGTCGTTTTCAAGTTAATTTTGTTTTAGATTTAAACATTCGATTAAAAATTATATATATATAAAACGAAAACATGTTTCTCTTGATTTTTTAGCCTTAATTTTTTATGCGAAAACATTTCCGTCACATTACCTTATTTTACAAGTGGTTGCCAGTACAGCGGGGTGTTTCTTTAGTCTCCGTCCGAGGCCCCATTCTTTTCTATCGATCTTCCTAAAAACAAAACATCCTTTTTCCCTTATTCTTTCCTCGGGACGGGCTGCAAAAATTATAACAAATTGACAATATATGTCAAAAATGCAAAATCTACAACATTTTTTACTCTATACCATAACATAAGATATAGCTAAAGTTTTTTCTTTTAATATTTATTTTATATATTTGTGTAAAAATGATGTATTATTTGTAAAATGAAATTGCACTCTACATAGATAATGATTTTATCTTACTTTACTTTTTTATTTACTTTTTTTTTCATTACACAAATCAATTTTTTATCGTTGCTCTTAAGACAGAGTTTTTTCGAGAACATAATAAAGAGTTTTCTTCCTTTCCTTACTCCCTGAACATTTCCTTACTCCTGATGATTTGCTTTTGACTGCGGTGCTCAGGACATGATGGTTTCGCGCAAAAACTACATAATATTGGTTTATCTGTCCATTCCACTTAAGCAAAAAGAGCAAGCAGTCTGGGCCAAATAGACCGCAAAGCGTGGCCTGTTATTCCAAGACAATATAATACAAATATGGAATCCGGTGTTTACTGCCAAGCGAGCCGGAACCAAATAACTGTTTTAATAGAGAAAAACTGTCTATTTAAAAACAGGTCTGGATTTTCCTTGCGCACGCCAAAAAATTGCTCTTGAATTTATTCCTTTTAGAAAGAAAAATAATGAGACATGTTTTACCATGTGTGTCTAATTTACCCACTGACGACCAGGGCTAATAAATTATTACGGTAATATTAGCAATTATTGCAATTTTGTTTCAACATCATAAATTCTCTCACTAAGGAATAAATACGAAGAAGCTTCTATCAATATTTGAAAGCGAACAAAGATAAGTCGAAAATTTGCAACCATGTTAATTACAATCAGCCACCCAACTTGGTAAATCGTAGGTTAACCTCATAACTGCAACAATACGTGTTTTTGATTATGAAAATACCATTTTTTTACACTATTACAATTTTTGTTAACTTTCTTGTTGCCTGCAGGGTGATAAAAATTTTCGGTGGATCCCACTATTCTGGTTTCCTTAGTCTCGAAGATTTAGCTTGTCAGGCAGGATTCCATATTTTTCTATTTTACTTTATTTTAATTTTCCTTTTCGAGTGCCTTTTATAAACATGTTAAAAGTTAATGGAGAAAATATGCATTATCTTTGTTTTGATAGATCAATTTGTGTCTTCCTCATTTTTTAATGTGCAGATTTTTTTGTTTCCATACGAATCTAAGATTTCGAGTTCCCATGGTCCCTTTTTCCACTTTTTTGTACAAACGTTCATACTTGTTTTAATAGTTGACCGTTTATGTTAGTTTTTGTCAGGTTTATGGCCTATTTGGGTTTTCAATATTTCTAAAAATTGTATTGTATCTATCGTATATTTTCTGCCGGTATGTCTGTTATATTTTCCATTGCATTTGAAGGTTATTATCGCGGGTTAGTCTTGTCTGTATCTGTTCTCAGTGGTTTCTCAATGATGTTCATTGATTTTCAGTTAAATCAAAAATAACAAACTTTTCTCGTTTACAAAACGTCTTGAGATTAATAATAATCAATGATTTTCTGTAAATTAGTAAAATATTAATCTATTTATGTGTAGTAGTCTAAATGACTAAATTTCTTATTTTACTTAATTATTCTTTTTATTTAAGGTCTTAGGTCAGATGAAACCGACATTTGTAAAATGGCAAAAAGTTGGAAAATCCGAAAGGTTGTATGTTGAGATGTGGAGTTGGTGTCCGAGTGGAGCGAAGTCACGATAGCTCAAGTGGTTTGAGCAGCGGCGAATTTAGCCGATGGTTGTGGGTTCGAATCCCGCTCGTGACACTAGCTTTTTCATCTCAACCAAGACCTTACATAAAAAGAATAATTAATTGAATTTAGTAAAATAGTTTAACATCTGCAATGTTCCTGTAAAAAATATACATAGGTAATACTTATATTAAGGAATAAACCAGCATAAGAAACCTAAGAGATTAAAAAGATAAAACAGGATTGAGATAGCATTTAAAACAGAGAGGTTACGGCAAAAATGTTGATGAAATTACAATATTGAGTAGAGAAAATAATCAACAAAAGTTAACTGAGTTGAAGAATATTTATATTAACAATGAAAATAATAATATAAATATTCAGCTAGACAAAAACCAAATTTGTAAAGAATATAAAATTAGTTTATTTATGTATAAAAAGATTTATAAAAACATTGTCAACATGAGAAATGTATGTAGTAATTTATAATGGACAAAACTCTTTAAATATTTTTGAAAATAATAATATAGTAATAATAAATTTAAATCTATTCCAACAAATTCATAATCAAAACAAAAATGGGGTATTAGTTTCATCTCAACATCAACCTATATAAAATAAGAAAGAGAATTTTTTCTTATTTTCATAACAAATTATTATTAACAGAAGTTTACTTCATTTCCATATTTCATATATTATTATAACGCTTTCTATTGGGTTGTCCGGAAAATAATGCAGGATTTTGGTATTAAACAAAAAAAAAGAAACTAGTTACTTTAAAGCAATGTTCTTTAATCAAAATAATTTCCCATACTCTCAATACATTTCTCCCAACGTGTTGGTAACTTATTAATTCCGTCTGAGTAGAATTCAGAATTTTTAGAATTGATAAAGTCAATAAATGCATTTTCCAGTTCCGTTTGATTTTTGAATATTATGTGTTGTAAGTAGTGGTCCAGGTGTCTAAAAAAATGGTAGTCAGTAGGCGAGAGGTCCGGAGAGTAGGGTGGGTGAGGCAAAGTTTCATAGCCAAGCTCCAATAATTTTTGTGACGTTACACGTGACACATGTGGTCGAGCGTTGTCATGCAACAAAATGGGCCCTTTCCGATTGACCAAAGAGGGCTTCATTACTGCCAATTTCTGATGCATGGTATTAATTTGGTTACAGTATGATTCAGCATTGATGGTTTCGCCAGGATTTAAGAAGCTGTAGTGTATTAAACCAAATGAAGCCCACCATACCGTAACCATTACCTTTTTTTGATGAGTTGGGGGCTTTGGAAAATGTATTGGAGCTTCTCCTTTGTCGAGCCACTGT